ATGTAAAGAACATCTGGCTTAACAGAGAGCCCATGTAAAGAACATCTGGCTTAATGGAGAGCCAATGTAAAGAACATCTGGCTTAATGGAGAGCCCATGTAAAGAACATCTGGCTTAATGGAGAGCCCATGTAAAGAACATCTGGCTTAATGGAGAGACGATGTGATTTACAGAACAGGCAGATGTGAAATGTAATCAGTAGAGCCAAATTTTGCAAAACCACAATTTATTTTATGCCCAAATGAAGACGAGGTTTCTGTCCACCAGAGAACAAAAAGTAACACATCTTTAAAACATCTGGCATTGACGACACAATCACACCAAAGACTCAAAGAGTTTCAGAGTAAGTTTGGCTTCTTTAACGGATACTTTATATTTTTACAATATAATCTATTTGGCTACAAGAACAACGCTCTGTGTGGAAAACAAGAAGTCTTTACAGACAGACACAGATATTAATGAAGTAAAACAACAAGGTTGACAGATTAAAGCCCACTGAGCTTCTTACTTTTACAAAAGATACTACAAAAGTTTAAAATATTTTATTTCCTTAAAAGGAGATTACAAACCAAGTGCATTGAGCTAAAAGACATAAGTTTACAATGTTCGTATCTTTATATAGTTCAAGAAACTTTTTATTAACTGCAGGAGGCCAAGTTTGATAAAAATATAAAGTTTGAACCAAATCTGTTGCTTTCTTTCTGTGACACATTAAACCAAGAAAACTTTAGAGCTTGTTGTGGTCCACACACGACAAACGTGTACAAATACACACACTACAAACGTGTACAAATACACAGACTAGGATAAAGAGGACGGCCTGGTCTGAACGCAGGACGGTGTTCAGTTTCCCTGAAGACACAAGTGGAGTTTGTGTCTGCGGCAGAATCCATCGTTTTAGGTTTATTTCATGAAGGGAAGCAGAAGCTGAATAATAATGATAATAATAATAATAATAATGATAATAATGTTTTTACCCCGCAGTCATCTTCAAGTATGAGCTGTGATGTGTTCCATGAGGACTCTTGGTTTAAAGACGTCAGTGACTGGACCTGGACGAGCTGCTGTTGAAGGTTTACCTGTTTTCTGTTGGAGCCCAGTGGTTTTGATCCGTTACTCAAGGACTTGATGAGAAATGGAGAAACTGAACATTTTATTGACTTTTTATGGACTTGACTGAACAAACATCTCTGTGGATTTATTTCTCTTGAACACCAGCAGGTCGACTGGAGGCTGCACCACAACCTGACATGAACAGCTGAGCTTAAGACGCACCTCACAGTTCATCACACAGGACGACCTCTGAACCCAGCTGTGTCTCCATGGTAACACAGCTGGTAGCATGGAGACCTGTGTCTTTACGGACCAGCACACCTGTGGACCAGAACACCTGAGAACAGGCGGACCAGAACACCTGTGGACAGGTGGACCAGAACACTTGAGGACAAGTGGACCAGAACACTTGAGGACAAGTGGACCAGAACACTTGAGGACAAGTGGACCAGAACACCTGAGGACAGGCGGACCAGAACACCTGTGGACCAGAACACCTGTGGACAGGTGGACCAGAACACCTGTGGACAGGTGGACCAGAACACCTGTGGACCAGAACACCTGTGGACAGGTGGACCAGAACACCTGTGGACCAGAACACCAGTGGACCAGAACACCTGCGGACCAGAACACCTGTGGACAGGTGAAGTCTCAGCGTGACAGAAGTTCCTGGACTTCCTTCAGAGTTTGAGGAACAATCGATCAAGTTCTGGGCTTCGTCCTGTTGCTCCAGATCGTTTCAGTCACTTTTTGCAGTTGATAATTCTGTTGAGCCGAACATCTCGTCTCATTTCACGAGTTGATTTTAGGAAATGTTTATTTTTATTCCTTCGTCAGCTTCGAGTTGTTTCAGCGACTTTGTGGTTTTTGTCTACATGTTTGGTCTGAGTTTACTGAGAATATTTTACAAAAGTTCTGACGGGACTTGGACGTGTTCTGAATGTGGTGCGGGTGCTCAGTGGACGCCGCACGTTTCCTATTTTAAGGCACTTTTCCGCTGTCTTCACTCAGGACAACTTCTGCTTCAATCTTTTAGACAAGTTGATTCTCCGAGTGACAAAAGCACGACGGCGCTCGGTGCAGCGACTCGTGGATCAAACAAACATCTGGTTTGATGGAAATAATAAAAACTGGACTTTTTCAATGTTTGAGCTACAGAATGAAGATGAACCCGACAGGAAAAGACTGGACCTACAGGACCACTCAGGCAAGGGGGTCCTGTCTGCAGCTCAAACTTTACTTTTAATTCTTCCTATTGGCTAACTAACTAACAAACAAACAAAAAAACAAACAAACAAACAAACAAACAAACAAACAAACAAACGTCTGCGTATCTTTGAACCACGGCTCGGACACATCGAGTTGAAAGTCCAACAGGAAAACGTTCTGCAGGTGATGAAGCGGCAGCTGTTGGTCAAGATTTAAAGTTTGATCAACTTCCCGTCTCATTTTCCAGATGTTTTTCAGGAACTGTCAAAGACGGTTCAAGAACCAGGATCTGATAAAAACGATCAGTGACGTGTGATTTTAGGACAAAGCTCAGAGCAGCAGCTCCAGTGAAGAAACTGAAGAACATCTGGTTAAAGCTGGACACCACGACAGCCGTGGCCATGGACCTCCACTCTCCAGCAGCTCGGCTGATTTTTAATCAGGAGTCGGGGCGCGGGGCTTTAGCCTCGTCAACAACCTTCACGTACTGGGAGAAGATGGCGTCGAACGCCTCGTCTCTGTGGATCATCGCACCAAAAATCATCGGCTGAAAAACAGCAGAAGAGACAGAAGCACGCGGGTATTATTAAAACAATAATGAATAATTATTCAAATAATTAATAACTAGAGGAACTGCATTTCCTGTGAAACCGAAGTGTGAATGTTTGTTTCTGAAAAACAGCTGGAACGAGCTAAAAGGACGAGAGGAGACCAGTCCTGTTGTACCGTTCCAGTCAGACGGAGGACTCCAGTCTCCTTGGACAGACTGCTCAGTTCATGATGCATCAGATGTTCATCGTGTCCTTCAAGCTCAGAGATTTCTCCACATTCCAAAATTCATCAAACATCGTCAAACATCTGGTAAGTTGTTGGGAAAAACCAACGCAGACATGTTCTAGATTTTACCTTCAGCATCTCTACAACCTGGCCGTTTGTTACGTTTTAAATACCAGTTTATTTTCACTGGTTATTCTCAGTTTCTATGTTTTCTTCATGATTGTCCACCGTCGTCATCACTCTTTGTTAAACCAGGTCTCTCTTGTGAGTCCCTGAGGCTCAATGGGACTAACCTGTAGAAATAAAGGTTGAATGGATTCTTCTGATGACATGAACTCTTGATGAATATTTAAAGTCTTCTCAGTTTTCTCTTGAGGAACTTTATTCTCCGGTTGTTCCAGTTTTTCTTACAGGTTTGTGTCGCCTGGTGAACCTCTGCCCATCTTTACTTCGTGCAGACTCCGTGTCTGTTTTATGGTCCGTCTCTAACCGACCTGCTCATAATGAAACGCTTTAGCTGACAAAACTTTTTCCAGCCGTTTCTTATTTGAACCACTTCCTGTCCCAACCCGGACATGTTCCCAACATCAAATGTAAAATTTAATTACTAAGCATCAGGTTGTCTTAGTTTAATTATAAAGTACATTTTGTGTTTTGGAATATTACTTGAAATTTCTCTAAGACAATTTCTGAGTTTATTTTAATGTTTCTTTAGACTCTTCAAATGAACACATGCACGACACTCGAGTCAACTTCTCCTGTCAGAGTGACGTCTTGCCCCGGGCAAACATTATTTCAGTTAACTAAAGTTATCCGTTTGACCACGGGCGTTCACGGAGCTCTTACCTTCTGGGTGGACGGTGTTGCCACAGAGATGCCCATCCCTGAGCCAGGCAGCACAGACAAAACTTTGTACTGGAAGGGTGAAACAAAATGTTTCAATTACATTTGAACAACTGCTCATTAGGATCGTTAGAGGACGGACGTGTCCACTCTGGAAAACCAAAACAAAGATTTTAAGATTTTTTTATTACGGTGATCTGCCTCGCTTCATCCTTGTTCTGTTATTTAACTTGGAGTTCAGAAATGCTTAATAAATAAGAAGAAATTGTAAATTATACACCAAAAACAACATACAGTTTTTATAGAATTGTTATCCAGGCTTTTGATGCTCTCACCACCTAGTGGAGTACGGCGTGTACAGATACCAAATTAAAAGTATCTAGAGTACTGCAGATGAAACATTTATCAAGAGGTTTGCTGAAAACCCTAAATTGATTTGAAACCATCCATCATCTTCCTCTTGTCCTGGACTCAGGTCTCGGGGGCAGCATCTTGAGCAGGGAGGTCCAGACATCTCTCTCCACAGCCTCTTCCAGTTCTTCTGGGAGGACTCCAAGGTGTTCCCAGACCAACTGAGAGATGTAGTCTCTCCAGCGTGTCCTGAGTCTTCTCCAGGGTCTCCTCCCAGTTGGACATGCCTGAAGCACCTCCCTAGGGAGGCACCCAGGGAGCATCCTGACCAGATGAACCACCTCAACTGGCTCCTCTGGATGTGGAGGAGCAGTGGTTCTACTCCGAGTCTCTCCTGATAACTGATCTTCTCACCCTGTCTCTGAGGGAGAGTCCAGCTCTGCAGAGGAAACTCATTTCAACCTCCTGGATCCACCATCTCATTCTTTCAGTCTCTACCAGAGTTCATGACCAGAGGTGAGGGGAGAAACGTAGACCAACCGGTAAACAGAGAGCTTTGTTTTACAGCTCAGCTCCCTCTTCACCACAACGGACCGGTACAGAGTCCACGATACTGCAGGTCGAGCTCAGCTCAAGTAACTGGGTTTAACTTCCTGTGGGCCACCACCTGCAGGAAGGGCCATACGAGTCGGGCGTGTATAGCGCCATGTGTGGTTTCCATAGGCAGGGCCTGTCCCAGCTGACCAAATGTTTGAAGCATTGTTGAATTTTATTCAAATTAAACCTTTGACTTATATTGTAAGAAATAAAGGATAGGGGTGGCAAAGTGCAAAGACAAAATTTAAACCACAAAAATTTCAGAGGAGATAATTTGACTCAGAACACAAAGCAAGTCATCAACATGTATAGGGCTGGGTACCGTTCAAAAAGATGTGGTCCCGGTACCTTCGCTTCGGTGTCGGTTCCTGAAAGGTACATTTTTCAGGACCAATTTTAAAATTCAGAATCAGAATAAGCTTTATTATCATTGTACCAGAATACAGCGAGATTATGTTTGTACGGTCGTCCGAAAGATGAACGGAGTGCACGTTGCTGCTGCTGAGAAGCGTGGCCCCTTTTCTTTATCAGAATACTTTTAGATAGAAAAAAGTATTTACAATATTAATTCTAACAAGAAGAAAATTACACATTACAGTACAAATCTTTTTATTTTTTTAGCACTGACAGTGTCCCTCGCATCCCACCAGCAGGTCACTGGATTCACTGAGGTAGGGTTGATGCAGACTTCTGCACCTCTGTGTCTCTGCCTGAATCTTCTCTGGGGTTTAGGGCTCTGATCATCTCCCTAACTGACATGAGAACAAAACATCAACAATAACATGGTTGTGTTATTATTGATCAAAAATCATTATCTAGGCTGAGAGATACTGGTTTAACTGGTCAACAATAATATCCTTTACAGCTTAACTTACCTCCACCATGCAGCCTCCACTGTAGAAAAAGGCAGAAAACTTTTAACAACAAAGTTTGTGACTGTCTTTTGACCCCTCCCCTTCTTTTGTCTGTCCTCCTCACATCAGGGTCAGAACCTCCTGTGAGGAGAAACAGTGAACATCAGGGGAACTGTTTAACCAGCAGACCTGATGGATGAGCACATTTTGACAAGCTTCATCTGTTACTGTCAATCTTTAGTTAGCTTCTGAGTTTAGCTAGCTACATGAAATAAAGCTCCAACATCGTAAAGTTAGTGTTACATGGATCCTGGTTTAATTCACCAGGATGCACGTGTTCAGCTGCAGTAACGTTAACAAACGTGAACTCACCAGCTGAAACACAGACACGGCTCCGTCCTCGGATGAAGCAGAGTCTGGTCATGGAGACGTCGACTCCGACCGTCCAGGCTCCAGCACCCACAGGCCGACTGTAACGCTGAGAGGAGGAGGCTGCGCTCCTCTCTCCTTGCAGACAAACACAGAGCGACTTTACGCTCGTAAATTCCGTGCACGGTCAGGCGCTGCGTATGAGAAACAACGTGACCCACGTCTGTTTGTCCTGATGTTTCCTGCGTTGCAGCTCTGGCATTGGCTGTAACTTTACATGTGGTTGAAACCACGTGTCACGTTACAGCCAATCACCGAACCTAAAGACAAAGCATGTTTTGATCCGTACACCGACTGAAGCAGTTCGGTTGGTACCATAAAAGAACCGAAGTTCAGTACTCAGCCATAAACATGTCGTGATTTTCAGAACATCAGTTTTAAAAAAATTAAGAGGCTTACATTAATTAAAGGCACATGAGAAAAGACAAGCTCCTGCAGGACACGATGATCAGCAGCAGCCCTGGAGCTGCAGACACAAACCTTCTGGATCTCAGTGATGTCCCGCAGCTTGAGGACTTTGTTTCTCTTTGTTGATCCAGACCTGGAGCTGGAGCTCTCGAAACACAGGTAGCTGAAAATGAAGGGACACGTGATGAAGTTCAGGACTTCTGGCTTATACATTCATTTAGATAAATATGTGTTAAGGAAAAAAATCTATATATAGATATGTGTCCTAGAGTCTTACAAAAACAGACGTTTTTAACCAAGTTTTGAACTTTATATGGTTGCTGCTTCTGTAGCTGAAAATCCTCAAAATGTAAATAATGAATTCAGTAAAGCTGTGGCTGAAATGTCAGAGTGACTCCAGCTGCTTACTTTTCCGTGACGTAAAGAACTCCGTTGCGGATGTAGTCCGTGGGCGTCTTCCTGTCCCTGTTGATCAGGCAGCAGCGCCAGCCGTTCTCACACACTGAAAGAACGCAGCAGTATCAGCCAACACCACACAGCACATGGCACACCCGTCAACAAACCACTCTACAGACATCTACAGCAAAGACCCGGACAAGCAAACCCCTCGTAACCTTCGACTTTGATTTGTGACCTTGACCTTGAAGCCAGGGTGATGGAGTTCATGCGATGCTCCATGTATATCAAGCAGTTTAATGATGTGGAGCAGATCAGAAACGAAGGGTGGGACAGTTTACAGAGGAACGGGCGGAGGATGCACCGGAATACGTCCGTCTGTGGATGGGAGTATAAAAAGAAGCAGCAGCTCCTCGCCTCACCTGGCAGAGGGTGCTCACTCTCCGGTAGGCTGAAGACCTCGTGAAAAGGTCCTCTCCTTGTGTTGTAGTACCGTCCTCCGTCCTCATCTCGGCCGGCGCCCAGAGAAGCTGCTGAGACGTTGCTTCTAACCCCGGCAGTCTGAACCTGAGCAAACATCCATGAGTTAGCTGGTGGAAATGACAGAATCATGCCTCCACAGCAGAGCTCACAACACATTGGACAATTTACAGAAACTCAGCTTCGATCTCCCACCACCTGCTGCGAATCCACGGGACGTCTCAGGACGGAGCTGACCTTCCTTTCTGATGACGTTTTCCAGCTGGTTCCTCTGAGCTGCTGCTGCTCCAGCAGACCACATCACAGAAGGTGAAGGTCTAAGAACACCTGCTCTGCAGGTAGAGCCTGCGCTGAGTCTTCCTCTACAGTCCAGTTCATTGTTCAGGTGAGCACACAGGTACCAGCACGAGTCCACTATCTCCATGTCCTTTCCCTGGATGGTGTTACTGCAGCGTGTCTGCTGGAATCTACCTTCAGATTTTCAGTCAGGGGTTCTAATTTACATCAAGAATCTGAATTTGTACGTAAAATTTAAAAAAATGTGCTGATGATCGATTATTCTAATGTTGGGTGGTAATGTTTAAAACTGGTCATTTACCATTTCCATTTAGAATGTCATCCATCCATTTGCTTTTTGAAAACATTATCTAGTAAGAGAAAAAGTGATGCAACTGTGTAATCACTAACTGCTAAACCTACTAACTACAAACACCACGACATAAACTGCCTTTAACAAACCGACAGAAGCTTCATTTTACAGAGTGCAGCAGCCCAACATGCACCTTCTGCACACAGGCCGACTTTCATTACTAGTTACATTACTAGTTACATTACTGTCTAGTTACTAGTAACATTACTAGTTACATCACTGTCTAGTTACTAGTAACATTACTAGCTAAATCACTGTCCAGTTACTAGTAATATTACTAGTTACATTACTAGTTACATTACTGTGTAGTTAGGTGAGTAGGTCAGTGGGTTGTGAGTGCGGTCATGAGGGAGTCTCTGTGTCCTTCCTTGCATGAGTCCCATTCTTCTTGAATTTGGAGCTTGGTCAACAAGTGTCTGGTTCTGGAGCTCTGATCTGACAGAGACCATCTGAGACCATCTGAGACCAACGGAGACCATCTAAGACCAACGGAGACCATTTCAGACCAAAGGAGACCATCTGAGACCAACTGAGACCATCTGAGACCAACTGAACCCATCTCAGACCATCTGAGATCATCTGAGACCATCTGAGATCATCTCAGACCATCTGAGACCATCTTGGACCAACTGAGACCATCTCAGACCATCTGAGACCATCTGAGACCACCTCAGACCATCTGAGACCATCTGAGACCAACTGAACCCATCTCAGACCATCTGAGACCAACTCAGACCAACAGACAATCACAGACCATCTGAGACCAACTTGAGACCAACAGAGACCAACTTCTTCTTCTTGATTTTTCAGCTAACAGAGACCAACTTCTTCTTCTTCATTTTTCAGCTGCTCCTTCTAAGAGTCTCCACAGTGAACTAAGTCACACGAAGACCTGGTGATTATTTTTACTCCAGATGTTCTTCCTGATCAACCACAGACACTGAGCTGGCACAGCTTCTGTGTGGAGCAGAGAGCTGCTGCAGGGCGCCGGGGGAGCAGATGGTGGGGGTTAAGGGTCTTGCTCATGGGCCCAGAGGGTGGAGGCAGGTGTGGGTGTTTCACCAGTCCCACCAACATTTTGATGTTGTCGGTACTGGGAGTTGAACCGACAATCTCCCAATTACAGACCCACCTTCTCCAACCTCTGCACCGTTCCCCTACACACACACACACACACACACACACACACACACACTCAGCAGATCCTACCTGTTCATGCTCAGACAGCTGAGGGAGAAGAACAGAAGCCGTGACGCTCACGTGTCCAACAGAACATGATCATGTTTGTGTCACCGCTCAGCGTGAGAGACTGACCCGTCGGCTCGGGGTGGGGGTGCTGCGCTCCTTCAGCTGCAGGTCTGTAGGGAGGTGGGTCCAGATGATGTACGGCGTGTCGTAGCGCTGCCTCAGCTTGGGACAACTCTTCAAGATGAAGTCGATGATGAAGAACTTGACCCCGGCGTACACACCTGAGGAGAGTCATACATGTCACTCCTGACAGGTGCACTGAGGAACCAGAAGCAGGTGGAGCTCTGCTGCACCACGCATCATCCTGCTCTGCTCCTTCAACAACGTCTCACTAATAAAATGTTCTTCATGAAAAGTCTCATTCTGCACAGAGAAACGACTTCAGGACAAAACAACTAAACATGGTGTCTGAAGGAAGAGCTGCCTCAAGCCCTGCTCGAACGCTGCTGCTGCTGCTCGAACGCTGCTGCTGCTCGAACGCTGCTGCTGCTCGAACGCTGCTGCTGCTCGAACGCTGCTGCTGCTCGAACGCTGCTGCTGCTCGAACGCTGCTGCTGCTCGAACACTGCTGCTATAACGCTGCTGCTGCTATAACGCTGCTGCTCGAACGCGCTGCTGCTCGAACGCGTTGCTGCTCAAACGCGCTGCTGCTCAAACATGCTGATCCACCGTGGGAGGGATTCCTATAGTGAATGATTGTAGTTTTAGAGTTGAGTGTTTTTCTGGACTGGAACTGAACAGACTGAAGTAAACCTAAATGTTTTTGGGTCAAGATGTTCAACTGTGGAGAAGAGGCTGGCTCGACTTGTTCTTGTCAGAAGCAGCACAGAGATCCTGGAGAGGAGGGAGCCGCCTCCTCCTCCACCAGGAGCAATGGAGGAGCCAGGAGGCGCCTTGGCTACCATACATTTATCTTCAGCCACCCCACGTGACAACGCTCAGTAAACGTCCCATCATCGTCGGCCACAGCTGGACGAGTGACCTTCACCGACGATCCTCATCGTCTAAACGTAAAAGAAGAACCGAGCTGCAGACATTAAAGAGCCGCTCCTACTTGTTATTTCCTCCTCAGCCACAGAGACGTTCGCTCCTCATTCACTTTCCACTGAGACAAAGGAGGGAGGGGGGCACGGCCCCGACAACGTAAGCCGTACGTGATGATGTCATTGGCGTTGAAAACTGAACGGCTCTATGAAGCAAACGGGTCGTGGAGCACCAGGTCCCGTCAAAGAGCCGTTCACCTCAGCTCAACCTTCAACTAAGATCAGTGTCGAGAGTTTTACCACAACATCTGGACAACTGACCAAGTTCTAGGGCGGCCATCTTGGCTCCAAACGTAAAAAAGTTGCAGATGTTTCTGCCAGTTCTTCTAAACATTTCAAGAGCTGCATGAAATACTAAAGTATATTTAGAAATTATTGCATGATATCTTAAAGTATATCTAGAGATTATTGCATGATATATTAAAGTATATCTAGAGATTATTGCATGATATATTAAAGTATATGTAGAGATTATTGCATGAAATATTCAAGTATATTTAGAGATTACTGCATGATATATTAAAATATATCTAGAGATTATTGCATGAAATATTAAAGTATATGTAGAGATTATTGCATGAAATATTCAAGTATATTTAGAGATTACTGCATGATATATTAAAGTATATCTAGAGATTACTGCATGAAATACTAAAGTATATCTAGAGATTATTGCAAGAAATATTAAAGTATATCTAGAGATTACTGCATGATATCTTAAAGTATATCTAGAGATTATTGCATGATATATTAAAGTATATCTAGAGATTACTGCATGATATCTTAAAGTATATCTAGAGATTATTGCATGATATATTAAAGTATATCTAGAGATTACTGCATGATATATTAAAATATATCTAGAGATTATTGCATGAAATATTAAAGTACATCGAGAGATTATTGTATATCTTAAAGTATATCTAGAGATTATTGCATGATATTTTAAAGTATATCTAGAGATTACTGCATGATATATGAAAGTATATCTAGAGATTACTGCATGATATATGAAAGTATATCTAGAGATTACTGCATGATATACTCAAGTATATTTTGAGATTATTTGAACACGGCCATCATGCCCTCCAGGATAAACCACTGACGCCTCGCTCCATCTGCATGAGGCTCTTACTGTTGCATTATGGGTAATAAACCCCACTAAACCCAACTAAAGGAAACGACTCCACACTTGGACTCAGTTAGGTCAGACAGGTGTACTGCTTGTTAGTATTAACGGTACTCAAACATTGAAGTTGTAGTATTTTTTTACAACTTACCCATCATGAAGCCCAGCAGATGATACGGCAGCAGGCACGAGGCGATGAAGGTCACCCACAGCCCAACGTACAACTTCTGAGTGAGCTCCGGCTGGACCCACATCAACAGACTATACACACACACACACACACACACACACACACACACACACACACACTTTTACACCTTACTGCCAATCATGAAAACAGAACTGGTCCAGACAAACGTACTTTTTGATTTTCTCCAGGATGTTGGCCATCTTTCCAAACAGGTTCTGCATGAACGTCAAAACAAACAGAAATGTGAAGTAAAGGGACGCTCCGGCTCCCGACCTTTAAATGGATCACCTCGTCCCACCTGAGCCTTCTGAGCAACGTCCAGAACCAGCTGGAACTTCTCAGACACCGTCAGGTCTTCTTTTGGAGGCTCCTGGACAACAAAGAGAACAAATGTGCATCTGCTCTAAAGGTTGGTGACCGCAGTGACGGAGGGAAGGCCCGGCAGAACCGCGCTGGTCCGTCTGGGTTCATGTCAGTGTTTACAATGGTTTGTTACGATGGAGTACTGAGAGACGTCTCACCACTGGCTCAGACACTTCGGGTACGATGCTCCACTGGATCCTCCAGCCTCTGAGGGCAGAGAATCATGGGATCACATCAGATCACTGCACGGTCACCAGATGAACCCAACTAGCACTCTGAGATGGATCAAGTACAGAGTACAATTGTCCCTCGATGCTTCACGGTTCAACTTTCACAGTTTTTCAAAGTAACACTGGACATGACACCCAACTGTCTGACTGATGGATGAGCCGCACGATCAGCATGGATTTTTATTTAAAATAATTTACTTAGCACCTGCTGCACCTGTGTGCAGCGTGTCAGAGGTGGGCGGGGCCGAGAGCGCTGGCAGAGAGCAGCTGAAGGCAGAGAGCAGAGAGCGTGACATGCTGTGCTCTTTTATTGGTAAGTGGACTGTACCTATACAGCTCCTTTCTATAAAATACTCAAAGCGCTTTACAACAAGCTGTGCCTCATTTATCATTCAGACAGCTCTCTACTAGATCTCTGCGAAGAACAATCACAGCTTTACATCATTCATACACTCATCGGAGGCTGTGAGGAGTTCAGCGTCTTGCCCAGGGACACTTCAACATGTGACTGCTGCTGGAATCGAACCCCCAACTCTTGCACTGGAGGACAACTGCTTTTAGAGTTTTAGAGCATTCAGAGTTTAGAAACATCGTTTAGAATATTGCAGGAGTGTGGAAAGTAGAGCTGCATACAATCCGGCCCGGCCCAATCCCGTATCAATTTTTCTGAGTCCAACGGGAAACCGAGGGATTATCTGTAATTACAGGACCCAACCCGAAACCAATCCAGACATTTTTTTATTAAGCTTTTACTGCTTTGGTAAGGAAATCAGTTTGACATGATATTATTACTATTTTTTATTTATTCATTTATTTTTTTGACATATTTAAAAATGTATTTCAAAGAAAGGAAGATATCAGATTTCTTGTTTCACCAAATGGATATTAAGAAAACAAACAGCTTAAAAATCAACTGTAAAGATCGGCTATAAAACAAACAAACAAAAATATTTTTAGAGCCAAACTATTTGTAAAAATATAGAACGTCTATTTTAATTGAACACGCTGATCGTTTCGGTTGTTGTAACTGCTGCTACTTCCTTCACCGCAGACGACAGCAGGTGTGGAGACGCACGGCCGGTGATCAGCTGATCCATCTGAGCTTAACTGGACCTTTTTTTTTTTTTTTACCTCTTTTCAACCGGCCTCCTCGTCAATAAGTAGATTAATACAATTTTATACTGTGCGTTCTTGTTTAGCTGTCTTTGTGCTGGATGACTCGTACAACTGCATCAAAGACCGAGACCGGCCCGCACATTATTATGACCCGGCACAAATCCGGGCCAAGTTAGAAATGACGGCTACAGTGGGAAAGGTTTCAAACACCATCCAGTTATCCTTATCTAAACTAAACAATGTAGCTCCTAATCAGTCACATCTTTGTGGACTCCGTGTCAGCTGTTGGGTAGTAACACGTATTGTGAACCAGTTTCAGCTGATGCTGTACAAGTGGAACACATCAGGTGGAACGAGAGGCAGTGATCAAGACAACCTCTATAAAAGAGTGATTCTGCAGGTGGTGACCACAGGTCATTTCTCTGTTCTCGTCCTTTCTGGTTGAACTTTTAGTCACTTTTCATTTTGTCAGTTTCGTCACACATGGAGGCATCATGAGTGTTTTAGGTTCCAACATTTTTCAGTCAGGTCATCTGGACAGTTTCTTTTTTTGTGCTGAAATGTTTCACCATCAATCCAGAAGGCTTCATCATTCAAGGAAACTCACAACAAAACACACAACAAAACAAAAGAAACTGCCCAGATGACCTGACTGAAAAAAGGTTGGATTTGATACCTGGATTATTGAGCATGGACTTTGCAGTTTTTTAGGTCGTTTTCACACCAGATAGTCCGGTAGACTCGGTTCTGGACCAATATTCATGAGCTTTTGTTACATTTGAGCTGGTGCGTTTGCATTCACACTGCACTGTGCAGTCGAGTCAACCAGTTGAAGCAACCAGTTGAAGCAACCAGTTGAAGCAACCAGTTGAAGCAACCAGTTGAAGCAACCAGTTGAAGCAACCAGTTGAAGCAACCAGTTGAACCAACC